CTAAACTATCTTACAATAATATCAATTAATATAATATAAAAATTTTAACTGTGAAAAAGAAAGTCACGCAAAAAATTAAAATTAAAAATAAAATAAAAACATTAGCCTAAATAAAAACATTAGCCTGGGATGTTGTCAAAGGAGCCACAGGGGTTGAACTGTTGGACTAGGTAACATTTAAGGGTCCCTATTAGTCCTATTATTTCTAGGAAATTCTAAAAAAGTAATCCCTGTGGTTGAGGCAGGGAGAAGATGTTAAAACTAAATCCCTAGAACCACACTCTGAATTGACCGGAACCCCAGTAAGTACCTGATGAAAAATGTTTGTGTAGTATTTGTTTATATGTGTACTCCAGAACCTCAGAATTGAAAATCTACAGCTTAAATTTCAAAAAGATCCCACTCTGTCTTATATAAGTATACTCTAAAACAATCCAATAAATGTACCGTATCAGTTATACAACATACACCACCAATACACTGTGACCAACAGCGAAATTACAAATTCTCAAACACCTAAAGTTCCACTGAAAACACTTAATGGGCAAAAAAGTTGAAAGTCTGTAACTTTGTACTTGCATTAAATGACTCCAAAATTCTTTCCTGACTTCCTTTTATCATAACTCCTCAGATCATTTGGTTAACTGAAAGTCACTACAAGGACAGACCAATGACATCATTTCCGTTTTGCCAGGGAGGCAAGACAACGAGCCCACCCGTCTGCCCCACGGCCCTGCCTGACCACACCAGCCCACACCATGTCACCCAGTGCCCAGTCCTCGTGTTAATCAGGTGTAGCCTTGTTGCTTTTTAAAAAGTCATCCCAAATTACTTAAACTTTATGTTTTTACCAGAATCATCCTAGGTGTGGATTTTGTCAGAAAACGTCTCTGTAAAGAGCCAAACAGTAAATATTTTAGGCTTTTGCCAGCCATTCTGTCTCTGTGCCAACCTTGCTATTGGAGTGAAAAAATAGCCACAGACAAGCCTACATGAATGAGTATGACTGCAACCCAACAAAACTTAACTTCTGGGGCCGTAAAATTTCAATTTCATATAATTTGCACTTATCACAACATTTTTTTTTTTCCTAACCATTTAAAAATGTAAAAACAATTCTTAGCTCTCAGGCAGAACACCAGTAGACAATAACGGGCCGGATTTGGTCTGTGGGCCATAATTTGCTGCTTCCTGATCTAGACTACCAGAACTGCGTCAACAATCCTGCATTCCCAAGGCCTCCAGCAGCACGTGTCTGCGGACTGGTCCTGTTGATTTCTTTCCTCCTATTCCAGATGACCACGGTATTTCTTTGGAATGTCTAGGCATCTAATTAACACATCAAACCGAGTAGGCTAATGAGCTTTGCAAGGGCAAATGAGAGCTTCAATATGAATTGAGATTCTCTTTCTCAGAGAATAACAATCTGTAAATAATGTTGTCTGGGGTGGGGGAGCCCTCAAATAGCAAGGGACATCCACTGCATCAAAAATCAGTAAATAAACAAATGTTTAAATAAATAAGGAAGAAAGGAAGAACAAATGAATGAACTTGAAATGCTACATCTTTCAAAAGTCCTTCCCTAGGAGATGGCTCATCACAGATGCATCTCCCAGCAAAGAGAAAGAACAGTTAACAGGGAGAGCTTAAACACCCTTTGTGGAGGAGGCAGACAGCAAACACAGAATGACCAGCCCAGACAGTATAGCCACTACTCTGGTATGTTCAAACAACCTTTCTGGCTATACTTTTATTTTACCGGTTAATCTGAAACAGGTTTAAAAAAAACCCCAACAAACTCATGACCTCATCCACTATTTAATTCCTAGAATGGCATACAACTCTATCTTACAAAGAGTCATTATAGAGTTCAGATACTGTTAAGTCCCTAAAAAAATTTTTCAATAAAAAGAATTAACTTCAAAATAGACATAGATGTTCCTGAGTTCAAAGAGTTAGATGGAGGGTGGGTGAGGGTCATGGATATGGCATATGGAACAGCCCACACATCTGAGGACCACTGTATACCAAGAAGCCAGGATCTTTTACATCTGTTAACTCCAACCCCTGACGGGCCCACATAACGCAGAAATATCTCCCCAGAAAATAGTCTTAAATAATCTATACCTGCTGTTCCACCATGTCTTAAAACTACAGGAACATGAAAGACTAACGTTATCAGGAGCCAAAGAGTCACCAGAAGAAAGAGAAACATCCAGGCCCAAACATTAGACTTCAACACGAAATGCCTCTCCAGGAATTTGTGCCCACTGACATCTTTCTTGGTCAGACGTGTGCTTTAGTTGTATCTGACATTTACTGTGTACGTATGACAAGGCCATCAGTAGATACTCTGGACTACCTAGCCCAAATGTTGGGTAGAAACAGCTCTAGGAAGCAGGATACTACCAGGTTGATGAGTCATCATCCTATTACCAAAGACCCTAAGCTGAAAGATTTCATGATATGTAGTGATTGCTTCCTAGACAGTACACCCCACCCCACCCTGCACAGTCTGCAATCACAATCTGCTCCACAGAGCTTTCCTGACCCAGGACTGTAACAGGAAATCTTTTAGAGTGTGAGCTAGAAGTTACCAAATCTTGAGAAAATGAGTCAGAGGCATGAGAAGGACCAAACAAGTGGGTTTCTATGGCTCTGTGGGCCTGGGCCACACGAGCCTCTATTCAATTAACAAAGAACTGGTAAGGATGAATCAGACTACTGGCCAACAGAACAGTGAGGAAGAGGCTGCCCACGGAAGATCAATTCAAATAGGCTTTCTCAAACAGCTACTTGGGGGCTTTATTTAAATTTTATGGGAAGACTACAAAATAATTCTCTGAAGCTTTCAAATCTCCTTTTTGATCTACCCATCTTCAGAAGAAGAAAAAAGCCATAAAATCAAGTAGCATCTTCAGCCACAGTGAGGCCAAGCAGAGCCACACCCGAGTTCTCCAACCTATGAACCCGCCTGCCCCTGCACAGGCTCTGCCTGAAACAGGGTGTACAGCGGCCCAGGGAGAGCTGGGGGCAGCACAGCACAGAGTCAACAATGTAAAGCAAACCGAATCATAAAAAGCTGACACCATTCACCCGTAATCCAGCTCTGCTATGACGTCTACGACGGAGAATGTGACTTCCCTATGCAACCTGTGAGGAAGTAACCAAGCAATAAAATACAGAAACCATTGGGAGACAAGTGTCATCACTGGCTCAAAGTAAGGTAACTGGATAACTGAAAGCTGGCTCTCTCCGCCACTGTAGGATGACAGTGACAGGCACTGGAATAGAGAAAGCACGCAAAATGGACATCCATCCTGGACTCCCTTCTCCAGCCAGCAGCCAGCAGCCAGCCAGCCTTTCAAAAAGGAAGTCAAGGTGTGATCCCTCTGCCCAGAGCCCTCTGCTGTGGGTCAAATGGTGTTCCTCAAAAAGGCTTATGAACTACTAACTCCCTGTGCCTGTGAACAGGACCTTATTCGGAACGAGGATCTTTGGTGACATCATCACATTACAGTGAGTTCCTGCTGGACTAGGGTGGGTCCTATGCCCAATGGCTGGTGTCCTAAGAATGCCATGCGAAGGCCTAGACACACAGGGAGGAGATGGCAATGTCCTGGAGGAGGCAGAGACTGGACCTGCTGCCACAGGCCAAGGACACCAAGCACTAGCAGCAAAGACCGGAAGCTGGAGGAGACAAGGAGGGAGGCTTCCTTAGGACGTCTGGAGGGTGCACAGCCCTGCTGACACCCTGGTTTCCCACTTCGAGTCTCCAGAACTGTGAAACAAATTTCTGTTGCTTTAAGCCACCCAGTTTGGGGTATTTTCTCAAGGCAGCCCTCGGAAGTTAACAGCCTCCAGTGGCTTCCTAGCTCCTCAGCCAGAAAACCAAAGCATTGGTACAAACTGTTCCAGACCTCCCCTTACCTGGCTGGCTCCCCTGACTGGCTGAGCCCCACTAATCCCTGCCTCCTCACTCCACTCCCGTCACACTGGCCTCTCCACTGGCCCTCAAACATGCAGACACCCTCCCACCACAGCCTGGCCTAGGTAGGTCCTAATCCACTCCCTCTGCTGGAAGGAGGGAATGGCTCTCATCCTCCTTCAGGGACCTGCTCAAGTCCCCTAACCAGTAAGGCTCCCCCTAATTACCTTCAGTACCTCCTGTCCCCACCCCGTACACTCTATTCCTCCTTCCCTTTCTTTATGTTCCCCATAATACTTGAGATAAGCTGACATATATATATCTTGCTTAACTTTTGAGAGATCCATCTCCCTCTGTGATGTTAGCTCCAGAGAGCAGGAATTTTTCATTGCTGAGTCAAAACACACTCTGTATATCGAATGGAGAAATGAATTTGATCAGGACAGGTAAAATTTTACTCAAAACTGGCTGCAACAATAAAGGTTTCTACTAATTAACTGGAACAGCAGAAGCTTCTGTAGATGAAGGGCAGGCTTAAGGTCGTACTCTGAGGGGCCAGGAATCTCTTGAGCAGGTTGTCTTAGGTACAGTGAGGGGGTGGGGGCTCATGGAAGAAAGAGAGACAAACAACTGTGAAACAGCCTATTAAGATTCCTCCTTACCTAAAAAAGCCACCTCTTAGCTTAACAGTTTTTGTCCCTAGCCACACGGGAGAAAGTGACTTAGCCTGAGAAATTTGTGAAGCAAAATCTTAACATATCACTCCCACTGCTTTACTACAGACACCTTTGTATTTCAGGGGCTAAGGGGAAAGGGCCCTGCAGGAATGTCTGATAATGATAATCTCACACTGCTTATGTACTAACGATTCAGAAGGAAAGGCTCTGACCTCCACACTCCTAAAAAATAAGACAGCAAAAAACATTCCAAGTAAGCCAGGAACTCAGCTCTTTCTCAATAAGAAGACAATCCAAACCTGTTAAAAAACAGCCCTAAGTTAACATTTTTCTTTCCCTCATTTACATTTTCAAAACTTTCAAACAAGTGGCAGAAAATGAAAATCTTTCTTTACCTTGGGTTTTGGCCCCAGGTCCGGCCAGTGCTAGCGATGAATCACAGGATTCCTTGAGGGGTGATCTGATGGGCGTTTCAGCTTCAGGGGTCTCAAAATTACCTTCAGAATCCGAGCTGCCAAGGGGGAAAAATGAGGAATTACCACTTTCAACGGTATTTCCGACACCCTTTATAATCTAAATATCCATGAGGGCTAAATAAAGTCCAGCGTTTTGGCCTAACTTTACAACCCACTGATCCTCAGCACCGACTGGCCTGTGGCAGCTGCTGGCTCTAGCTGCGCCCTCCTCCGACTTCTGCCTGGCATCCTGCCTGGCATCCTGCCTCCCTGAATCTCCTCCAGCCTTGGAAGCTTTTCTCCAGCACCACGTATTTTTGAAGTTATCCTTCCCTGACACCCAAAAGAGAGGCTTTCTGAAGACTCCTTTTTTCACAAAAGCCCCTTCCCACAGGCTTAGAAATTAAGATTGCCCCCCCTCCCTGAAAAATTAAGCCAGCTCTCGCCATGATGCCTTTTTCTTTGACAGGCTTCTACCTGTTTGGAACTCGGAGGCCGAGAATGCTGTCACCTGCCTTCCACAATCACAGGGTGACAGCTCAGTAAAGACCACCATTTTTCACCAGCTGCCAGGGGCCTGTCATCCCGTGAGCTTCTTTACCAAGGGTGCATTTTCGGGATACAGTAGGACCCGAGGAGGGCCCAGGAGCGACTTCTTCCCCCACAGAGGGACCCCTAGTTCCATGGGGTGTGATCAATGACACTACGTGACTGCAGGGGCGGACGCTGGGGGATGGAGGCTCAGAGAAAGTGACGAGGCAGACGGGGATGCGGAGAGGCTGCAGATTCTGCGTTAGGTTCAGAAAGCTCCTACTGAAACGGGGGAATGAAAATACACGCAGGGCAGAACATCCCGAACTTTCGAATGCACAGCGGGGACCCGGTTACGGGCGGGGACCCAGCATCGGCAGGACCACGGTTACGCGGGCGGGCGGACGACCACACACACGTACACAGGGGGAGCCGCAGATGGATGAATGGCACCGCGTCTGCAGCCCGGCAGGGATGCGTGTACTTGCCTGAAACTCAGGGATTTGGTCTCAGCTTGCGAGTCCTCCTCCTCGGGGTCGCCCTCGGGCCCTCCGGCCTCGTCCTCCCCGGCGCCCCCGCCGCGCACCGCGGACCAGGTCCACCTCGCCCACTGCACAGGGGACAGGATCTGCCACGGGCTGAACGCCATGAGCGCGGCTCCTCCGGCTCCAGCTCCTACGACGAGGGGAAGCGCAGAGCCTTTTTCCCTTTCAAGATGGAGGGACCGGTGACAGGCGCCTGTACGCGTCCCCAGCGGAGGCGCGGATGTGGTTGAACGAGCGCCGTCGGGGGCCCGGGTGGAGCGCTTCCTCTCGGCCGCCGGGCGGGCCGGCGGCGCCGCTTCCTCCTCGTCCTCCGCCCCACGCGGTGCGGCCGCACCGTCCCCGCGCCGGGCGACTCCCGCCGGGGAGATGCTCCTCGGGGGCCTCGGCAGGGACCGGCCCGCGGCGCCCGGCGGCTGGGCCTCGGCGGCTCGCGGCGTCGGGCTCCCGCCTCCGGGCCGGCCGGGCGCGCCGCGCTGCCGCGGGGGCCGCGCCCGGGAGCCGCCCCTCGGGCCGTACCACTCTCGCGCGCGGGGGGTGGAGGCGGCGGCACCGGGCCTTTGAAGCGTGCGGCGCGCCCGCCGGATCCCCCCGCCGCGCGGCGCGCTGGTCGCGCCCGGGCTGCGGAAAAGGGGCTGCCCCGCGGCGACTCGGCCCCAGGCGCCCCCAGCAGCTCGGCGGGCGGCAGCAGCCGGAAAGATTCATTTTTCTGGGTCCGTGCACGCTGCCTTTTCCTGCTTCCCCTTTTAGTGTCTCGTCTTGCTGCGGTGACATAATGGCGCTGCTGATACTGGGTTCGCACCTAAGTTAAGCCCCCTGTAAAAGCAGCTTAGAGGCCCCGTGGACTGGTGTTTTTCCCCCTCCCTGATCCTGCACGCGCGGAAGATTTCAGCCTGTTGACCTTCAACCCATCACTCCCGGGATCCGGAACTCCCGCAGCAGCGCTACAGGAGGCGCCGAGGCCTGGAATCCCAGACGCCGTGTCCCTCCCCAGACCGCTGTCGTGGGCGGTGTGTGGCCAGGTCCCGGGTCAACGGTGCCAGATGACCCTGTGGAATCACAGCCTGCTCCATTTGCCCATTCTCCTTTTTGAGGCTTTCGCTTCAGAACTTCCAAGTCTTTGATTTGTGACTCCGTTTGCTGCTTCGGAACTATGCCAACTGACCTGGTGAAGGCAGCCTTCAAAATATACACGCTCCTTATGGTTGAAGGCTGAGGGAACTCGCAGAACTGTCCTCAGGTCTCCTCACTTCCCACTTAGGGGTTCCATTTAGAGATTGCCCCTCAGAACTACCAAGGCACCGAAGGCTGCCCCAAACACCAGGCTTCATGATCGCGCCTGCATAGGGCGTTCCGGGTCCTACTGTAATTTCTCACAGCTGTGGTGAATCTGTGAGGTGGTTGCTGGTCCCCGCAGAGAGAGCAGCTTCAGGACTTAGGAGCAAATTCATGCTGCGGCGACGAGAGACGGGCTGTCTCCCCTGAAAGCAGCTGACGGACCATCACTATCCTGCACATTCCATAACAAGGAAGAGAGCAAAAATGATCCGAGATAAGGCATGTCGGGGAATCTGATCATAACAGAAGGGCAGGGGTTTGCCTGGAGTCTAGATAAAAGGGTCAGGGTGGGGGGATGCTTGAGAATTCATCCTGCTCCTCTCCAGAGATAAACACGACTGTCCTGACTGTTCTGGAGACAACAAAGATGTGAAGTAAGCGGGAGTCTTTTTTTTTTTTTAAGGCCAAATGTGGAACAGGCCACAGCACTATCCAAACATCCTTATTTTTAGGTTTATGGCCCACAACGTAAACCTTCAGATTTCAAGGACCGGCAAGTTCCTGGATTTGACACAAGGGTCTTGTTGCCCGGAAATTTCCCCATGTAAATCAGTAACTGGCGTATACCAGCTCCAGTTCATTCTCCCTGAATAGTTCTGGAGTCTTTTCATTCCTCTGCATCCCATGGTGACGGTCAGAGTTCCCACACTCCCCATGTTTCACAGATCTACTATAAACACCCCCTAACCGCTTCTACCTCTGAGAGTTCTCTCACCCGGGGTCACCGCTGCCTGGCTCATCTGCGGCTTGGGCTCTGCTCTTGCCTTTCCTGCTCCCCCGGACTCCCAGCTCCTAGCCATAATCAGCAGAGATTGGGTTCTGAACCTTCACTATGTCCAAGAATCATCTAGAACACTTCTTTAAAAACACAAAGCCAAACTGCCAGCAGGACCTGGAAATCTGTATTTTTACCAAGTGTCCTGCGGATAAATGTGGGAAACAATGCTAGCTTGAACCAACTAACTGCTTCTGAACAATCTCCCTTTTGCCAGCAGTTTTGCACAGCCCCCACCACAGGCTCCCAGACCTTGACTGCCCAGACCTCCTTCGTCACCCAGCTCAAGTGTCTACCTGAAAAAACAGGCTGATTTCATTCTCCTTTCTACCAACTCTATGTCCCAAACATTCACAGAAACTCTTACTGTGGCCCTTAGTTTTTTTTTTAATTGAAGTATAGTTGACATACGATCTTATATTGGTTTCAAATGTACAACATAGTAGTTCACCAGTTACCCACATTATTAAATCCTCACCCGAACTAGTGCAGTTACTATCTGTCAACACAGAAAGATGTTATCCTTAGACAGTTTTGAAAGCAGGTGCTGTTAATAGTTATACCAGGATAATAGGCATAAACCAGAACATTCCAGGATGTAAGGTCACCGTACACTTAGCACACCATATATAATGCATTCGTTTACAAATCTGTCCCACTTCTGGATCATAAGCTTCTAAATGGCAGGGACCACATCGTATTTATGATTTATTTTTGTTTTCCCAGAGATGAAGATAGGGCCACATATTCAGCAGATGTTCAATCAATATGCAGAAAAGGAATATTCTAATTTACAAGTAGACCATATGAGTTTGGCTAGGGTGACACAGGTTCCTAAAGCCTGACTCCTTCTAGGGAAACCAAGTTTTTGAACCAGCATAGAATGGAACCTGTCATGCATAATGGCCCCAGTAAGATAAAGCGTGGGGTGTTCAGCAATTTCTTGAAACTGGAGAAGCAAATGCCCAGGTTTTTGAAAATCATTCCTCTGCAAACTCTGGGACAGAATATGAATAGCAACAAAGGAAGCAATCACTCAACAGCTTGAATTGATTTCATTGTCTGAAAGTACTAGTAATGAGGCTAACTGATATATCAACTTTCCTGTAATGCTGGGAAAGAATGGGCAACGTTTCACAACAGGTGTCCTCACCAAGGTGAGCTGTCCACCAAGGTGAGCCATCCACCAGGTAAGCCATCATTTTGCTGCTACGCCCTCACCTTCACAGAGCAGAGTGTCTGCAAATACACGACCCAGGAACCAAGTGAAACTTGCTTGTTTCTGAGATGACCATAAGCACACAAAGGGCCCTATCTGTTCTCTTCCTTCCTCTGCTTCTTGGCCTTCACAGAAATTTGGATCACTGTTCTATGAAAATCTACAATGTGACTCCCTTGAAGCACTCCACCACTGTGGCCAGGCACACACCATGCGGCTAATACATGCTCCAGAGAGACCTGCAAAATGGGTCTCTTTGGTAAGAAAATAAAATATGTGGGTAAAGAAACTCAAACAGGCAAATGCATATCCATTTCTGTGGCTCAGCTATTAAAGAAATGCCTCTGGGAATGCGGAAGGAGGTGGGGGTGCAGGAAGGTCCTAACTGGGAAGGGTCCTGTACACCCAGTAAGCAGTTGACCTTAACTCAAGTTGAACTCGATACTGTAGAGGGGGAGCAAAGGCAAGCACCCACCCAGGTAACGTGAGGGAAGGATGGGGCCTGGGTGAGGGCTGTGTTCCTGGAGAGAGCACTGCCCTAAGGGGCAGCGCCCTACCCAGTTCCTGGTGCCCAGAGCTGCCATATAGCAGTCTTCCAGGAGAACCCCAAATCCTGGGTTTTGTAAATCACCGTCCAATCCTTACTGTTCTTATTAATTTAGTAGTTTCACACCTTAGGGTGGCCAAGATGGTGCAGGACACACAAAAGCCATCTATATGCCTGTGTGGCCCGTGGAGCCTGGATGGGCAGAGGGGAGCCATCAGGCTCTGAGCAAGTAAGTAATATTTCCACTTAGATTATTCTTGCAACAACCTGGGGCTCTTGGGTGAAAGAAGTCAAGAGGGAAGGTCTTGAAAACTGCTTTTCCCTGTCCCCCAGAGGCCGAGAGAAGGGAGAGCCGCTCCCCCAGGGGGTAAGGAGGCAGAACTGGAGTCAGTGTCTCTCACTCCACTTGTTCAATGAATATCAGAGGTGTGAGCAGTCCAGGTGCACAACAGGGACTCTTTTACAATGGGAGGAAAAGAAAACTGCATTTCTGAGAGCCAGGAAAACAAGAAGGCATGTGTAGGCGATGATGTTGAGGGTGCGGAGGAGGCCGAGGACCCGATGGCAAGGTGAATCCAAGGTGAAGTAACCAGAGAAAAGAGAAAGGTCAGGCAGGGAACTGCCAACTTATCTGTACTTCCTCACAAGTTAGGAATCTGGCGAGCAAAACATACATCTCTTTCAACTACGGTTAAATGCCACATTGATAATGTAACCTGTGAAGCACTTAGGAAAATCACTGGCCCACAGGAACCCAAGTGGCAACTGGAAGCTAGGCTGAGAAGCCTCAGTGGGACCTCCACAGGACCTCCCACCCGCCCACCTGCCCTTGGAGAGCCATACTGCTCACTGGCAAGGTTTCCAAGGCATGGCGGGGATGCCCTGCATGTGGTTATGGTTACTCCACAAGCCTGTTCCTTGAATGTTCTGTTCTCACTCACCAAGCTAAACACCCTCAGCCCTTAATGTTTTTTCCTTCCATGTGTACATGCAGAAGGTCTTTAAAATGCGATGATAATCATACCTTATATCAATAAAGTTTCATCGGATCCTTACAATCTGGCTGGTCTTTTCTTGCTCAGTTCAATGGTGTGGTGACTGAGGCCGAAAGGGACACCAACCAGCCTGAAGCCACACAGCGAATCAGGGCCAGACCTGAATCTAGAACCTGAGCCTCCAACTCCCGGGGCCCTTTGTGCTCCATCAACCTGGAAGAAAGCAGAATGCCCTGGCAGCTGCTCTGCGATTCCACCAGCTAGACATCCTCTCAACATGTTGCGGCCGCTCTGCTGCCAGGCGGTCCCCAGGATTCCCAGTCCCACCTGTGAAGACCCGCCGTGGCCAGCAGGAGCCCTGAGCCTCTGACTGGCCTCAGGCAAGAACGTGCTTGGTGTCTGTACAAGACAACATGGCCAATGGTGGCATCTCACAATATTCAAGTATGTTAACATTACAGTCGTAACCTCGCAAGATCAGATGCTGTCCTTACCTGTAGGCTATAATTACCTACAGAATTACAGTCTTTTTCCTCCATTACTCAAACACACCCAAATCACAGAATCCAGATGATGCATTTACAC